GTATAAAACGAATTCTTTCATAGATTTCTTAACACGGTTTAATTCCTAACTATTCTCCTACTGTGAAAACCTATAAAGACTCATTCCAGAACATATTAACCCAAATAAACTAGAGATCGATTCTCGTTAACACTCGACGATTCTAACGTCACCGACGGCCTAATCTCATTAATTGCAACGATGATCCTTGACCTTTCAATTCTCTCTTACGTTTAACAAACAAATTCTCGATCCAAAAAGTATAATCGACGAGAACACAATGAAATAATCATACAGACTCAGTGTATGTAATATGTACTTGCATATAACCGACGTGACAGAGTGCAGTAAGCCTCGTTCTTTGTACGAAATCTATTGTATAAAAAGCGCTCTGTCACGGTCAGGATTCGAGGCGATAGCGAGGCAAGACCGGGTCAGAATCGGTGGAATGTTAACGTAACCACGAGAGAAGAGAATCCGTGGAAGGAAATCAGCGGCGGTGGTTTACATCGACGCAACACTTTCACCTTTCCCCATGTTATGAGATCGACATCTCTTCCCGCCGCGCCGCCGCCGTTCGTTCCACTGCGGCGACGACACAAGTTTATTTCCTTGACCAAGAATTAAATCAACGAATCGCGTGTTAATTGCCTACAATCATTTTTATAATAACCTAGACTTCATACTGGGTCGTTTAAGAAATCTCTATTAATGATAGAATTAACAACCATATTTTAGTAAAGCTAATAGTTAAAGTGATAGGTAAGGCTTGTAACAACACGTGGATACATTTGTACAGGCGTAATTTTGAAACTACTGTTTTCCTAATCATGAGTCTGCTGTAATTGAAAGTAGAAACGAAAGTAGAAACGGTATTAAATCGATTACGTTCCAAGGTTTAAACGAATCTCGTACCCTTCATAAAAAGACATCTACAACAACCACCCCCATGATCAAGTCAGCAGAATCCCCGGAGGCACGATGAAAAATATAAACTTCCATGTACCCTTCAAAGTATACCGCATCGACAAACTCGGTACGCGACCACCAGACATTTGCTAGCATAAAAACAGAAAAAAAGACCGCAGCTTTGCGTAATGACAAGAAGATCAAACGAGATACGAAGAAGAAGGAAAAATCGACAGAACCAACGAGATTCGAGAACCAAAAATGGTGTTCAGTACGATCGTAGTTACGTCGGCTTTGAAGGGCGCTTTGGGGCTGATGGGCACAAGCTTATGGTTGATCCCATTACTGATAGCCGGTCTGTCTTACTACCGGTACGACCAATTAGATCCTGAGAGTCGACCCATCAATAGATACCCATTGTACCCAGAGTACGATTTCATCGTCGTGGGTGGAGGATCGGCCGGAGCCGTCGTGGCGAACAGACTCTCCGAGATTCCGAATTGGAACGTTCTACTGTTGGAAGCCGGTCCGGACGAGAACGAAGTGACCGACGTCCCATCACTAGCGGCTTATCTTCAGCTAACGAAACTCGATTGGAAATACAAAACGGAGCCAACAGGCAGGGCTTGTTTAGCCATGAAAGGCGGCCGTTGTAACTGGCCGCGTGGCAAAGTGCTGGGTGGATCCAGCGTGCTAAACTACATGCTCTATGTTCGAGGGAATCGTCACGATTACGATTACTGGGAATCCTTAGGTAATCCCGGCTGGGGATATGAGCAGGCGCTTTATTATTTCAAAAAATCCGAAGACAACAGGAACCCGTATTTACAGAAGAGTCCGTACCATTCGACCGGTGGTTACCTAACGGTGCAAGAATCGCCGTGGAGGACGCCGCTGGTAGTAGCGTTCGTCCAAGCAGGGACAGAAATCGGGTACGAAAACAGAGATATAAACGGTGAGCAACAAACGGGGTTCATGATAGCTCAGGGTACTATACGTCGCGGGAGTCGATGTTCCACGGCGAAGGCGTTTCTGCGGCCGATTCGGTTACGTCGGAACATCCACACGGCTATGAACGCCCATGTGACGAGAGTGCTGATCGACTCGGTCACGATGAGAGCTACGGGCGTCGAATTCGTGAGAGACGGTCGCCGGCAGATCGTTCGAGCGAGAAAAGAAGTGATTCTCTCAGCTGGGAGTATCAACACTGCACAAATATTAATGTTGTCCGGCGTTGGACCGAAGGAACACTTGCGGCACGTGGGGATACCGGTGATCAAGGACCTTCGAGTCGGGGACAATCTTCAGGATCACGTCGGCATGGGCGGTCTCACTTTTCTCATCGACAAACCCGTGGCTATTGTTCAGAATCGTTTCCAAGCGGCGCCTGTGACGATGCACTACGTAGCCAACGGCCGGGGGCCGATGACCACCCTGGGTGGCGTCGAAGGTTACGCGTTCGTTAACACAAAATACGCGAATCGATCCATCGATTATCCGGACATCCAGTTACACATGGCGCCGGCGTCGATTAATTCCGACGGCGGTATACAAGTGAAAAGGGTCCTGGGCATAACCGATGAAGTCTACAACACAGTTTATAGACCAATCGCAAATAAAGACGCGTGGACCATAATGCCGCTTCTGTTGAGACCGAAATCGAGAGGCACCGTCAGGCTACGGAGTTCGAATCCGTTTCACAGCCCGTTGATCAACGCGAATTATTTCTCGGACCCGATGGACATCGCTACTCTAGTCGAAGGCGCGAAAATCGCGATGCAAGTCAGCGAAACGAAGGTCTATAAACAATTCGGATCGAGGGTGCACAGGATTAAATTGCCCGGTTGTAAGAACTTAAAGTTCGGCTCGGACGCCTATTGGGAGTGCCATATTCGACACATCTCGATGACGATTTACCATCCGGTCGGAACGGCGAAAATGGGCCCGTCTGACGATCCTACGGCCGTCGTGGACCACAGATTAAAAATTTACGGGATCGAAGGACTCAGGGTGATCGACGCGTCGATCATGCCGACGATTTGCAGCGGGAATACGAACGCTCCGGTAATTATGATCGGAGAGAAGGGCGCGGATCTTATAAAAAACGATTGGTTGGCAGTGAAGACGAACGGAAGACGGTGAATTTGGTATGTCATAGTTTCAAGTACAAAAATGAAATTCTGCTGGAAATAAATATTCGACACTTCCAGATAGAACAATTTTAGCTTGCAAAAATTCACGAATGTTTATACGATCGATGTTTATAAATTTGTTTTATTGTTTGTTAACAAGTTAGTTATGCCTTGTTGATTACTAGTGCAGCGATGCGTGTCAGTCTGTCTTTACTTTGTAAAGACGTTACAACGTCTGCATTGTGATATGTTGAATGTGCAGATGGCTCATTCGATTCTGGACTCACTACGCACGTATACATCGTTGTGGTACGTGCGCTCGTTTGCTTTTGTCAAACAACGATGATACTTTTGTTACTCTTTCATAAATACTGAACGAGAGCATGAATAATAAAAGAATGCTTGTATATGTTTGAAAAATATGAAAGAGAATGCGCGATATTTCCTATGTGTTCCTGGGAAGTGGGTCCGGGATCAAATTAATATTCTGTATATAAATTCTTGTTAACTTAGTTATAGAATTGTTTAACTCGAAAGATTTGCGAGAACGAACGAGTGACGATTTTAGTTAAAGTTGTATTCCGTTGTTACTAATTAAGGAGTTTTTTAATTGTACCAAACTGTGCGAACGATTTTAGTATTTAATCGAATTAACTCTATTTTTTTTATTGTGTTTTATTATGAAATGTTTGTAATGAGAAATTAGATAATAAAGCTCTGACTAAAATTGATCGACGATTTATCATTCGAACGACAAACACTGCCAGGGAAATGATATAGACAAATGACATAGACGAGACATCCTACTTCGGTGTTTGCAATTACATAAATTTCGCGTGATGCACGTGTCATTACGCAATTAGCATCGTTCGAGATAAATGTTGAAATTAAAATTTCGTTATGAAACGTGACCGAAGAACAGAATGCAATAGTTCAATTTCATTGAGACCGTTTTACGTAATCGACTTATTCAATTTAAATGAGATATGTGAAAATACAATTTCTAATATCGTCAGTCTCTAAAACACTACAGAATAATACATATATAAAAAAAGTCGATGATTCTAGCGTTGCGGAGTTCAAATAAATATTAGTTCGATTTTAATCCACATTAAAATTAAAGTAAGAGAAGTTGAATTTTTCGATAAAAAAGTATTGAATTTTTCATTGAAAACCCTATTGAAATTGATAAAGGAAGTCAAGACGAAAATAATCGCGTTTGATTGATCCCGATATCTCAATTCGTTCCGAAGATACAAGCTTCCAAAGTTTAGCTACACCGTTCGGCACACTGACATAGTTTCGGGCGTCTAGACTTAACGGTAGGGATAGGTCCGGGAATCGGTGCGAAAAGGACAACACGAGCGTCGAAAAAAGTTTCCCTTTTTTGCTAGGACGACCACCAGAAAATGTCTGTCTGTTTTTGTAAGGCGAGCGCTACAAAAAGTCTGCTTCTTTTTCTACGACGAGCGCTACAAAAAGTTGGCCTGTTTTTCTACGACGAACGCCGAGAAAAGCATATATGTATTGTCACGACCATATGTGCCGAACGTTTTTTAACTCTCCGGAGTCTCAGGTTTCACAGACGAACGCCGAACTCCTCACATAGTAATATTGCAGGGATTGTCAACCTGCGGCTTTTAGAAGGATTATTTGTGGTTCTCAATAAATGTAACCGAGTTCCTTTTTCATTTTTGTGCAATTATATTTTAAAAAATTATTATCGTTCAGAAATGGAAAAAAACTGGTACGTAATTCGACAACAAGTATAAGCCTGGGAGTTGGAGTCAGGGCCGACCAGGTCAACAGGGTTGAAAGGGTGAGATAGGTCTCGTGGTCTCGAAAAGGTGGAAAGCCCGGTTAGCCTTGAAACGTGGGGGTAAAGCCTTGGCAATTTGACCCGTACAGAATTCTGTACGCCGTTCTAGTGGAATGGGAACCATTCAACGTTGAATGAACAAATGCATTTGAACGAATAAAAGTCATAGTGGTGGAAATTGTGACCTGCATTGTCTCCAATTACGTGCAGACATATGCAATTGAAAAAAAGGTATAAAAATGCTGAGTTTGGAATAAAATATATGAAAGCTTATTTCTACTACAGTAATTAATCTTTTACAATGTGTACTGCTTTGACGTATGACAAGCTGATTAATCGAAAACTAGAACTTTTATCTGAAGTTTTACGTGGAATAAATTACTTTGGACACAAATCAAATCTACCAATAATTTTATAAAAATGTTCCAGTCTGCTTGAACCTGGGGGTCAAACGTAACGGGAAATATGAATATTAAACGCGAATTAACCTTTGCCTGAACATGATCGTTAATCCACTCACTACAGGTTTTTATTTGTTTCGTAAAACTAGTATTCCACTAATTTACATCTACTGCTCTAAATGTTACGAAGAATACGGACGCTAAAAAAACAAGGAAACGTCAATTTAAAGGCTAATTCCCACAGAACGGCCGATGGGACGGTTTTCGTAATAGACAATAAATACTGAAATGATCATGACTATATTCCAAGATACACGAGTGCGAGTAATCGATTTTGCAATATTTTTTTAAAAAAAGATGTCCATATATTAATTCATTGGTTTGGAATTATTGTCAATCATTTCCTATCTAAAAATATACTCAAAGAATAA